GGGGGCGGGCGGCAAGGGGCGAGTTGGGGGGGTTTTCTCCTCCCTTCTCACATCATCTTTGACAGACAGCAAGGGGCAGATAAATATTAATTTTCTAGAATTTTTAGGGGTCCCATGGGCTGGATAGAATGGCCTGACAGTGCAGATGCGGCCTGCGGGCCATATTTTGCCCACTCCTGGCTTAGATGTTCATAGAAAACAAGCACAATAATGGCATACTTGGCCATCCTGAAATTCAGTAGAAGCCTGAGCTCTAGGCAGGAATTATTATTGATGGTAATGGCATTTTAAAATGCGAGGAAATATTTCTCTGGTTTTATATTTCACTATGGGCCTAGATCTAATGGTATTGCTACTTGCGGCTCTGTGAGTTTTGAAGTGATGTCACCGTGCAGCCTTCCGGTTCGCCTGGGAGCACAAGAGTGGATTAGCAGAGAATGCACTGCTATTCTGTGAACACAGATGTTTTCTATTCTGTTCATATAGATATTTTATTTTAGAAAAAACATCATTTTAACAGTGCAAAAAGTAACTGCTGCATCCAATGAGGATCATGTGTTTATAGGATCATAAAAGTGAAGATGTAGCCTAATCTTAGGAAGGTATTACCAAACTGCAGTTAGTATTTTACTGCTTGAAGAAGGGGAAATAAGCAAATCAATAAAAGATAAATGACACGGGAGGACTTTCTTTTAAAAAACTGCTCAAATGATAACTAGTTTTTGTGCAGCCAGTTGGTGAACTGTAAATGTCTCATTCCTTCCAGCTACCAAGCCCCGAGGTTCTGCAGCAGAAATCAGGACATACTATTTACTTCTTCGTCATATGCATTTTTCTGAACTTCCTAGCTCAGTCTTCCATTTTAACATACCTGTTTCTTTGACTGCAAGCAAAGCCAAACTCAAACATATGCTTCTTGTTCTGTTCATGCTACCTCTCCAACTGAAAGTAGTATAGGAGACCAAATGCTGCTCCACTGAGAGGTAGAGGTTATTGATGCACTCACAATGCTGCACTTAAGGCAGCTATATTACTTCTGGATCAGGTGGAAGGGCAAGGAATGGGCCTCATTTGTCTCAATATCTAACACTGTAGTTGGGCAGTGTGTGCTCATCCTTCCAGTTCAATCAGATCACACACACACCAAAAGCCTCTCTCAGGAAAAGAACACAGATGTGACTCCAGGATCAGAGTTCCCTTTTGAAACATGGACCTCACTTCTAGAAAGGTTCCAGACATCCATTCGCAGCTTTCCAGAGAGAGTCTCCTAATGGGAACTGACCAAGGCCCCAGTTCTAAATTAGTTTTGTTCTCATTTATCCAATTGCAGGACTGAGGACAATATTTGAAATCTCAATAGACTTGGAGCTTCTGTTCTTAGGGAACAGGTTTTCTTATGTGTTCTGGAAAGGCCAATGAGTATAATGGGCTATGGTTCAAAAAAGCATTCTGAACCCAAATGGCAAGTCTTGTCCATCACCTAAAAAAAATCCACCCTGAATTTACTATATTATCTCTCTCTCTATCTTATGGCTAGCCCTAAAAGGGTACTATTGATCTCCTCTCACAACTTCTAACTATACACATACATGCTCGTGTGCTCTCTCCCCTCCCCCCTTTCTCCCTCTCTTTTAGGTGAAGGTAAAGTTATAGAGAGATATCATCAGGCTCACCTCTGTCATCTTTCAGTAATTTTAAAATTTTCTGTCAGATTTCTTCAGTTGTGAATCATAGCTTCAACCATAACTATGAGTACCACAAGATTTAAATCACATTCAAAATCTGCTGAGTCCAATATGTATAATAAGCAAGCCTCTAGTGACATGATAAATAAGAATGCCTTGATATGAAGAAAATAGAAATCCAGGAAATTTGGGGGGAAAAATGTGAGGTTTGCTTCTGTTCCCTGCCCCCCGCCCCCAACCAAATCAGCAGAATTGATGTGGAAAGAAAACAGGTTTTAATCTTTTCAGCTCTTGCACATAAGATTATTTTTAAAAATTATTTATTAGCTCATTAAATTTAACTGCTTTTG